CAATTAATGCTAATACTTGTAAATCTCGTCAAGCATTCATGATTATAACTTATGTTAACAACAAATCAAGTTCCTTTCATAGCTTAAGTGTCGGTTATACCATATAGTATGGGCTATGAAAGTGCCAAGCATTTGTTGTACCAAGTATTATACAACATAAATCAAGATTAGTCATTTAACAAGTAAAGTATTAAAGAGTGAACAAGATAACAAATATAAAACATGTTAGTATTAAACATTAAAGTCCATATTAAGTTTATACTATACTTATTCTTACACCATTAGTGTAACCTTTTCACCTTGACATAATAAACTTAGCTAGACATAATGAAAGAAAGAAAAATAGATAAATAAAATAAGAACATAAATAAGATAAAAGTTAACTAAGTAAAGGAAGGAAAATGAAAGGCATAAACTTGATATTAGTAAAAGCAAAGCATAAGCAATACAAAAAAATACAAGAGAGAAAGCAAGAGCATGATCTTGATCTGGACACCAAGATGCCTAAATTCATGGCAAATGTCTCCTTTTATAGGCCAAAATTAGGAACTATTGATTTGATAACTAATTGATGAGTGGGTGACCAACTCTTGACTTGGTGACAATCCTTATCTTCTCTTGTCTGCCTAAAACGTCATTAATAACATGAAAATTGGAGCCACTCGAAAACATGAAAGTTGTAGGAAATTGTCTCAGCTTTCTTGTATAAAAAATTAAGCTCATTTGGACTTCTAGAACTCTAGATATGGGCCAAAAACTAAATAGTGCTCGGGTTGGAAGATAGATTCGGGCTTCTTTGTTGTTGCTACAATTTGGACTTGAAAATGACCTTTTTAGATCTTGGGATCCATATGAAAGTTGTAGGCTTATGTCTTACCTTTCCATCCATATAAAGTAGACTAAAATCTAAGATCTATAGCTCCAAATATGACCCAATTACCGAACAGTATTCCAGTTTGGATTGCACTGACATCTCTTTTCTAAGTTTGGTCATCTCTTTATCCTTTTAATTTCAGTTCTTAAACTCATCAATCAATCTTTTCATTTATGTAATAGGTTTACATTTAAAATGAGCATTTACCACAAATTAAAGATATCTTATATTATTAGATATGTTATTATAAAAGATGTCTTAGTTAAGGAGTGATTGATATTTCAAGTGCAAAATGATGAAATAAAACCTTAATAAAAAAATACTTTTAAGTACTAATCAAAAGTCATGTTTCTATTTATTGCTCTGTCTAAGGTTTAAGAGAAGTCCTTCTCAATAAGAAAACATTAACCTTTATCAGGCTAAAATCTCATTATTCTAAGGCTAAAAAATTAATGTCATATTTCTTTGTACTTTATATCTTTAATATATGACGATATAAGTTACAATGTAATTTTATAACCCTAAATATTAAAGTCTACATTTAATTACCGAAATGTTATTTTTGTTAATTCATCTAATTTAATACCAAGAGTATGCATTACATTATATAATTCATATCCCAACTATTAACAACATAAATTAATTTTTGTGGTGTTTTTCAAATTTCAGCTAAATTCTAATAGATAATCATAAATTGATTATGATATCCATTTATGTATTTTTTTTAAATATGATAAAAATATAATTTTTTTTAATAAGATATATATGAAAAATTTTAAAGTTTGGTTATATGGAAGGAAACAAAATTATATTTTTATATTTTTGAAATAAGGTATTTTTTTTAATTTGTTCGAGATTTTGGAGGAAATTGGATATTCTTAATATAAAATTAGTATCTTACCGTATAATTTTATAATTAATATTAAGTGAAATTATTGAAAAAAAAATGAAGAACCATAAATAATTTTAAAACACTCCTTGAATTTTTTCAAAAAAATAAAAAATTATTTAGAACCTGCTTGGCTAAACACGATAATGAGGGCAAATCAATATTAAAAAGGGTACAAAATGATATGTTTTTTTAGCGCAGCCTTCTCTAAATATAAAAAATATCTTAAGATTTTATTTGACAAACATATTTTAAGAGCATAAAATGACATGCTTTTAAGATTGATAAAAAATATTAAATTATAAAATTAAATTCAATTACACTATTTAAAATAAAGGTGAAAATGAATTAAAAGAAATTGAGTTCTGTGTCTCCCATCAAGAACTCTTATTGAATTAATAACCTGATGAAGCTGGTCTTCTGCAATTTCTTAGCAGTTCCATGACCACACTCATCAACAGCTACTGTTGACCACATGTATATGGCCATGGCCACAAGCCTCTGTAGGCAAAGTTAGGGAGGACTAGTGAAAGACATCTTCTCTTGACAAACAGCCCTGAGGATCACAACATTTCTCTACCAAACTCAAATTCGTTCAGTATATGCTTACAAGCAAAAGAGAGCAGTAGCAGTAGCTATTTCATTCCGCTGAGTTTATCTGGGAGTATAATTGTAGTTAGTTGTTAAAATAATTTTTATTTAAAAATATATTAAAATAATATTTTTATTTTTTAAAATTATTTTTGATATAAATATATTAAAATAATTTAAAAACACTAAAAATATATTAATTTAAAAAAATAAATAAAAATTTAAATGTTTTTAAATATATTTTTAAAATACAAAAATAAACGATTACTTATCATTATGTGTAATCATATTTATTCCATCACTTATTCATATATCCACTTTGATACTTAAATATAATACTGCTAAGCTGATGCAAATATAACAAACTAAACTTCATGGCCGAAATCTAATGTCAACAAATATTATAATAAATCCTTTTACAAATTTTCATTTCAAATTGATCATACTATCTCAAAATAAAGAAACTTCAGGCAATCAATTTCTTACACATCAATCAAGCCAGCCAGCCTGCCAACAGCTTCTCTATAATCAATTATGTGTCCCCTTTTTAAATTACCATACCAGTCCTCTTCCTTAATTACAGACACAATTTTCTCCTCTTTTACTGGAAAAAAAAAAACACTTATACAATAATCAATAATCTTAAAACAAAACTTTGTAATCCCAAAAAGATAAAAACAATCGCTATTTATTAAAACAAACCTGCACCAGAAATTACTCCACAAGGTGTCACAATATGCCTACTAATATCAATTAGAATTTAATTTCTTGAATATGTTTTTGGTTATTCTTAAGAGTGAAATTTCATTTAGGATTTAAGTAAATATCTTTTTTAAAAAATCCAAATACTTAAATTGATTTAACCTCATAAATTTAATTTAATTCATATGGTTCTAACCAGTGTTATAAATTAAACATGATTAAACTAAAATTCAAGAAAAAAATATTTTTTTAGTTCTCGTACCATTTTGCATCTAAATAAACAAATTCACAATCTAAAAACACTCCAAATTTTGTAAAAAAATCAAAATCAAATAAAAAAAATATCATGAATCTCAATCAAAATTACCTCAATAAAACTCCTTTAATTAAGAGTAACCTAATAAAATCAATATTGACTTTTTTGTCATTGAGATTTGGTTAATCCATTTTTTTTTATTTCCCATCAACTTTTTCTTTTATTTTTAAAACTCATGGGCTGAAATGTAAAAGAATAAATTATAGGGATGAACATTAAATTCTAAAACTAAAGGGGCCAAAATGAGTAAATGGATAATTTTTGGATGAAAAAATGTTTTTTTGCATGAATGAATTTGAAGAAAGCCCCAATTTTATTTTATTTTCTATCTTGGTTCTTTTATAACATAAATTTAAATTATATTTCATCAAATTGGCCTCAATTTCAAATGTTAAACTTCACACAAATCTGGAATTGCAAATAATATGCGTAAAGTTCAACAATGAAAATGAAAAATTGAAAAATAGTAATGTTCATTTAGTGAGTAGATAGTTAAGTTCAACATCCATATTTCTTTTGCTTCTTTTTTTTTTAATATTAACAAGTTGTTTAAACATGCTCCATTGATTGATCCAAGTGGCATATATTTTCTTTATTTTGTAGTAAATCGATAAAACCATATCACGGTGATATATATATATATGATTTTCTTTTTAGGGTCATGAAAATGAAGTGAAAAGTGTGTCTTGGAATGCATCTGGTTCGTTCCTTGCAACGTGTAGTCGGGATAAGACTGTTTGGATTTGGGAAGTGATGCCTGGAATGAATTAGAGTTTGCTTCGGTTTTGCGAGGACATACACAAGATGTTAAAAGGGTTAAATGGCATCCAACTACGGTTGTTTTGTTTTCTTGTAGTTATAATAATACTGTTAAGGTACTTTTTTATGGGTAAAATTGGTCGTCTCTGCCTTTTCTTTTTCTTTCTTTGTGAAAAGCTGACTCCAAAATTTCCATTCCTGGTTTCAAAACAATTTAAATATATGAGATCAACTTTATAATTTTCGTAGAAATACAGGTTTGGGCTGAGGATGGCGCTGGTGATTTGCATTGTTTTCAAACCTTAGGTGAATCTAACAAGTACTCTCTCTCTTCCCTTCCTTCTTTCCTTCCTTCCTTCCTCCCCCATCCCTTCCTTTGCTTTTATGCTACTCTTGTGGGCGCGCTGTTCTTTTGCATTAGACCATTATGCAAGCTAGCTGCTATATTTAGGTTTTACATAGACTTTAGTTAGTTAATGTTATTTGTTGGCTTATTGATAACTCCCTTTGCAATACGACGAGCTAATCTAATTAAACAAGGGTTGTTTTCTACTCAGTGGTCACTTTTCTACTCTCTGGGCATTTTCTTTTAACGCTGAAGGAGACAGAATGGTTACTTGTAGGTATGTACAGCTTTTTCCTAAGTTTGATGATCATTTTGTTGGGGTGATTTTTATTTTTAAGGTATCTAGAAACAAAAACTGAGTTGTTCTGGCAAGCAATTGAATGGATTTTGGGTTGAGTTTGCAGTGATGATCTTGCCCTAAAAATATGGGAAACAGATGTTGGGAGGATGGTGCTGGGTGATGACCACGCGCCTTGGTGAGAAGCATCATGCTCTTTATGCTTATTCGGTCTTCTACTTTTCATTTCTTACATCTTATAGTGCACCTTCACTATTAAAATTCAAATAAAGAAATGACTTCAAATTAGTGTGAATGACTTGTGATAAAAAAATATTTGATATTATGGATTGAAATTATGTTGGTCCTAAGTAGGAGGCCACTTGATAATCTGTGTATTTTTGCAAATGACACTAGAATTATTGTGGCAGAGAATGAAGAAAAACAATGGGAATTAGTTTTTATTTATTTATTAGTTTTAATATTATGTAATTATTCTAGATTTTAATATTTAGGAATGTTAGTAGTTAAATTAGGATTTTAGTTTCCTTATTGAAGTAAGATTTATTGGCTTTTATTTGGTTTGGTTTGGTGTATTTTAATAAGTACTTAAACATTAGTTATTTTGGTCTTTGAATTATTGACTAAAACTTTGAGTTTATACAATATTGAGCGTGTATCCTCTTGTTTTACTTTCAAGATTGATTGTCTTTTTTAATTTGGTCCCTTCAAGATAGTGTGTGTCTCTCTTGTTGGTGATTTTTGGTTACTATTCTACTTTAATTCTTTGGTTTTGGTGATTTTTTCTTCTCCTTTCCTAGATCAATTTGGTGCCGACCTGGAAATTTGTGTGTTTCTCGTCTCTTTTTCTTCCCACAATTAATTTGCCAATTCGGCCGATACCAAATCTAGGGTTTTGGTTTTTTCATACCAAAAGGAAGTCTACTAAAGGAACAGAAAATAAGACAAATCAAACAGAATTATTGGTAGTACCACAGATTCCCAAAGTCAAATGTATGTGATAATCCAGCAAAATTCCACCCACGCTAACTTTATCTTGCTGTGCTAGTTGGGAATTCTATTTGTTTCCAGAATTTGTGCCAACATCTGTATGGTTGGTGGATTTCTTTTCTTTAGGCTTTGTGATAAGCTATTCCTATATGCTACTTTATTGATATGATTTATAATGGTTTGATGAACAAGAATGTATGCTTCTCTTGCTTATGATTTATGATTTATAGAGAATATAATTCCGATAGGAGAAGTATAGTTCTTCAGGAATAAAGAAGTGAGATAAGCTTTGTCTTGTTTGTTTAGGTTCTCCCATAAATTGAAATGGATGTATTACATGAAACATTTTGGAGAATATATTTATGTTTGAGGAATTGGCTGTTTTTCAATTCAATATGTGAAACATTTTTTTTCATCTTTATTTGAACTTAATTACACTTGTGGTTATGAAAATTGTTGTAAGATGGATATTTCACTCACAGATATTGTTACTACCATCTATCCTCCAAAACCAAAAGTCAGATTGTCAGAACATGCAATTTATCAACCTCCATTGATTAGCAACATCGAGGTCACCAAAATCACTAGCACTGTTAATTCTTTACAAACCCAAATCCAAACCATGCAAATTTGCAATCTAATCATACAAAATTCAATAATGCATTTGATCAATTCAAAATAGAAGTTGAGCGTTTTAAACAACCAGTGTAGAACAAGTTGATGAATGCATTGAAGAAGACATTGGAGAAACTTGTTAGAGGGAATTTTGATTGTGCAAACACAAGATGAGCACGACATTACAGATTAAGAAGTTCGAACAATGAATATAGTATAAGATTTTGAAGTGCCATGAGTAAAGATTCTATCAATGAAGAGCTCAAAGATGAGGTTGATCAAATTGACTTTAATGTTCCTTCTAAATTCAATATTATAGCCGAGTAGACTATCTTATTGCTAATATTGCTTATCGAATGCAAAAAATAATTTTCAGGGAGTGCTTGCAACTTCATGGAGTTTTTGCTATTTCAACACTTTAGAACTCGAGGTTGAGTTTTTTTCCAACTAAGAGAGAATGATGGAGAATGAAGTACTACAATGGAAATTGGTTTTTAATTGATTAGGAGTTTTAATATTGTGTGATTATTCTACCTTTTATTTTTAGAAATATTAGTATTTATTATTTCAGTTGTTAAATTAGGATTTTTTTTATTGATCTAAGACTTGTTAGATTTTTCAATTTTATTTGGTTTGATGCATATACATAAGCACCCAGCCATTGGTTATTTTGGTCCTTGAATTATTAATTGAAATTAAAACTTTGAGTTTTTGCAAGATTGAGCGTCTCTTGTTTTGCTTTCAAGATTGTGTTTGTCTCTCTTGATTTGTTTTCTTAAAGATTGAGTCTCTCTTGTTGGTGATTTTGTTTCTATTCTATATCGATTCTTTTGTTTTGGTGTTTGAGCTCACTTTTCCTGCATCATATTATCAATGTGCTTTATTTGAATAATTCAGGAAAGAAAGATTTGATTATGATGCTCTTACACCCCAATTTGATGTGAGATTTATGTGGCATAAGATGCAATTTGATGTGAGATTTATGTGGCATAAGATAATTATAGCATCCCATCCCTAACCTGTTGTCCACCTTTTATTTTGGATGCCCAAAATGTTTATCCACATCCATTAACAAATCATATTTATGAGTTTATCAAAGTTTATTTAGTTATGATAGTTTAAAAAAAAAAAGAAGAAAGAATAACAATGGATTTGGGATTCACACCCCAAAGGTATCAATTACCGTTTCATTTGTATTTGGTATAGTGAAATTATAGGCCATTTTCAAATTATGCAGGGTGCTTGCCCACACACAAAACAATACTTGTTGGCAACATGGTTTCTTTTTCAGGAATCATCTTTGCACACTCTCATGTTATCATATGATCGAACGATCTTTTCAGTTGATTGGTCAAGGTAGCAACCCTTTAATTTAATTGAACAAAATATCATGTCTTCTTCATTGTTTTACGTTGTTTCTGGCTGTTCCCTTTCTTTATTAACTTATCATTGGGTGCTCTTGTGGATGATATGGGTAACATATACTTTTTCTGGGTTACTCTTTCAGTATTGGTTCTTTCTAAATTCTGTGTTTTTGCACCCCTTAATTTTTGAACAGGGAAGGTATTATAGCAAGTGGAGCAGCTGATGATGCTCTACGGTTTTTTCTGGAGGAAAAAGATGGTTTGGTATTAATAATTTATACCCTCACTTTATTATATCTTACTAATTTAACATACCAGGGAAGTTGCTCTGTTATTTGCATTGCATCGAAATAACAAAAACCCCTTAAATTGTTTTTGCAGCATGTTAAGTATGTAGACATAAACAACATTACCATGTATGAATAGCTGCTAAGTTCTCTCTTTCACAAGTTAGCTACATACCTGCCTTTTGGGATGAAAACTGCTTGTTTATTTACTCAGAATAAAAGTGCTTGAGGACATGGTTTTTGGAGTTCAATATATTTTTCACTCTCGAAGTCTCAATGGATCCCCCCTTCCTTATCTGCCTCTTACCTTTCTTTGTTATTCCTGACAATGAACTTCATGGAATGGTGGTAGTTTAAATTAAGCAACTGTTTTTCATTAGGTTTTTTTCTTTCTTTTCCTCAGTTCAGTTTTCACATCTTAGATAAATTATTTAGAAGTTCAATGGTTTGATTCTCTCGATTTATTCTTGCTTTTTTGGCTTCCTGTTTCAATAATCTTTGTCCAGTATAGTGGCATGGAAAGAATTATCCTAAAAACTCAAAAGTTGGATTGGATATTTAAAGAAAGGAAAGAACTAATATTATTGCTCTGAGTGGGGGGGGGGGGGGGGGGGATGAAACTAACCACCTTTGTCCTGAAAACAGTTTTAGTGCAAATCGCTGTTGGGGCGCTTTTGTCCTGAAAAGTGGACATTTTGCTAACATTGCTAAAGAGTGCAACTTGTGATCCCCTGTGTGCGAGCAACAAACACATTCTTACTCAACTTGGTTTTCTTGTGAATTTCTTATACTTTACCTTTTTTGTAATCTTATTTTCATAAAATTAGTTATAGATTTTACTTAGTTCTGCTATCTCAAGAATGCCAAATTTCAGGTTGATTGCAAAAGCTATAAGCTAATCACCTAAGTAACCTTTTGAAATAAATTATCACAACATAGATGGAAACACTTGTATCTGATTTTGATTTGAAATTGGTCTGATGAGGTAATGCGACCTTGTGAAACATTTATGGATGCTCATAAATGGAGGATGCCTTACTCTTGGCTTGATATATTGATTAGTGAATTAGGAAAAGAAGGATTAAGTGAGACTATTGTGTGTTTGTTACAGGTTGACAGTCCTTCATATAAACTGTTGCTGAAAAGAGAGAAGGCTCACAATATAGACATAAACTCAGTGCAAAGGGGCCCTGGGGTAAGCTTTCTTTTGGAAGTGTTGAGATTACACACTCAACAATTTTTTTATAGTGTATTTGATGTTTGTGTTTGTGCTGAAATGAATGCTTAAATTAAGTATATTAGGATCTGGTGGGAGGAGAAGGAGGGGGGTTGGTTGTAGATTCTCGGGTTCCACGATGATAGAGTGATGCTTGCCATTCAAGTGTCTTTGTAAACCAAATATATATTTCCCTGCTTGCCCTGATGATACTTATCTTGAAACAATTATACGACTATCTACTGCACATCAACAGTAATAATAAAAAAAACATGTGCTGACACTTGAAACTTCTGGTCTCTCACCATTCACCCTGCTAAAACTAGCGCAATATTGGTTAAAATGGTTTTATATCATTTAGCTGTACTGAAAAGATGAAAAGCTCGAGCTCACATCTTGAAAAGGCTAAAAAAGGGTGAGGAAACCACCTATCTTAGAGCCTATAGTGCCCTTTATTTGGTTTCTCATTTTCAGACTTTTTGTGCTGGGGGCGGGGAATTGATGCTTAGTATTGAAATCATGATTGTATTTGTATTGTGTTTCTGTGTATGATTGTATTTGTATTTGATTGTTGATTCTTGCCAGGAAACCCGGCTACTTGCTTCCACAAGTGATGATGGAAAAATAAAGATACGGGAACTGGCAACCCTAACCTGATACAACTTTTTGATAGTGATGGTTATGATTTCATGAAGCACCAGACCCAACCTGTGGGATCTTGAAATTGATACATGTTTTAGATATAAATCTCTTGTTAATCTCCTCTTATAAGTTGATCAGTGTAGTGGATGGAGCTGGGTTGACATGACGTTTCTCTACAATGGAAGCCGGAAGTTTTCCATATTAAATAAAGCATATGTATTTTTATTCTTAGTGTATTATTTGACTGGTCAAATTGGAGCGAGACTGTATATAGTCTGCCGGAACTAAATTGGGAGCAGAAATAGAATTATCAGAGATTGTAATTTGGATATGAATGTTGTCTTTTTGCGTTCTTTTTTCACCTGATCATTCCACTTATAGGCGGGTTCATATATTTACGGTTGATGTTCTGTTCATAATTTACTGAGTGAAAAGAGGGGGGCAAAAACGAAAAAAGAAGAAGCAGTCTTGAATACAAAATCACAGAAGATGCTGAGTTGTTTATGTGAAAAGCATCATGCTTCATGCTAGGAAGTATTTTCCAAAATTTCCTGTGGTTGCCCTCAAAAGGGGTAAATGGTCCGTCAGAGTAGATCATATCTGGGTAAGGGTCTTTATTTCCTGTCTATTTCTCTATGCATTAATAGCTGCTTGGATTTGCTCCAGAGTTCTCCCTTTCGTTTCTGGTACCACCGTGACCACAAACACTATAGCCAGCGCGTTGATTGCAGCATAAAGAATGAAGGTACCTGAAAACCATTCTTGTATAATTTAACTAACTGCTTTGTGAACCAGAGCTCTTTGAAACTAAATGGTTTTCACTTTTGCACATCTTCATATCGTTCCTTCTTAAAAACTACTATGTAGCTCTTGGTATTTATTTCAGTTCTTCCTTATTTATTTATCTTGCCAGCTGGTTGCCAATAAATTGATTCTTTGTATTAAGCTAACTTTTGGCATCGTTTCTTTGAATAAGTTTTAGATTTGTTTACCATAGGAGCTCCAGGACATAAGGTAGTTGTAAGTGTAGGAAACCGCCCATGCACCAAACCAGTTCACAAGTGTTGCTAAGCTTCCAGCTACTCCCTTAATATTTATTGGAAATATCTGCAACAAAAGACGATTGTCTTTTTTGGGTGGAATAATGAATTCATAGATGGAATTTTCATCTTGGAACTTAGATTACCTCAGACATTATTACCCACGGAACTGCACCCATTCCTGCTGAAAATGAGCCGATATAAAGCTGAACCAAAAGTATTTATCAAAGATACGTAAATAAGTTACATAGTTGGAGATCAATCTCAAGAGAAATATTATTTGACAATGATTATGATTACCAGTATGCCAATTAAAGTAAGTGCCGGGACTGATTTGATTGCCAATTCATTAACCTAGTTTTGCAGAAGGTCACTTTTACATGTCAGTATTTGAGAGAGACAAATTGAATTTCTGGGGTCTAAAATTAGCAAAAACCTTTAGATAGAATGCAGTCGCAGTTATTATACAGCCAAGAATCAGTCCTGATGCAGAAACCTGGAATACATAGATAAATTAACTTTCAATACCTGAAGGGTGATGAGTCGAGATGAAATTTTCAGAGATAACCGCGTTGGACAGAAATTTACCAGTAATAGAGGCTTTCTTCCAGCTTTATCTATGACGGTTGTGTTGAGGGCGGTAACCACAACCTACAAAATAATTTTTTTTTCAACGTACTCCTATTGGACTCTGACATTTTGATTTCTTGAAGTTAACAAAATTACTGAAAGAAAGAAACCTGAAGAATGGCATAGATTATGGTTCCAAGACTGGGAGAAAATCCTGAAATAATGCAGAATTTCAAATATTAGAGTACCAATGTAGAATCAAAACATTCTAGAAAGTATCAGCAAAAAATAATCTACTGGATTAAAATTCTATCATCATCGGAGATCAGAAAGGTTTTCAGGATGGAAGTTAGCGTGTAAGATTATTTTTATGTATCTTGTTTTATTTGGATTATTTTTCTATTTAGATTAGAATTTTCAATTTAATTGGGATTTTACTAATTAGAAATCATAAATTTTATTAGTTAGGCAAGTGTTAATTAATTAAAAATGCTTTCATTATAAAGAATTTTAGATTTAGAACTAGTATAAATAGAAATGTCTAATTTATTATTAGGGATTCAAACTCATATTGTTAGAACTTTTTTATAAAATATTAGAAATGTTTTCTATTCCTATACAATGTTGAGGGCTCTAATCTTGGGATTTGATAACCCTCACTTTTATTTATGCTATATGCGCATCAAATATTGGTCTGCTGACTTGAAAGCAGGGTGGATATAAAATTTTATGTTTAGTTCCCTGTTTGGTGGAAAGGGCAGGGGCCATGTCTCTCCTTTGATAGTAATGTTTATCATCAAGACCTCTTTACCTGCTGACTCAAAAATATTGCTGACATAAAAGCAGACCCCATTGATTCCTCCAAATTGTTGAAAGACCATCAGTCCTACTCCTATCTGATCAAATTGGCATAAAATGTATCAATTGACTATCAGAGTTCATGAAAAATAAATCCTTTCTGGTGAGCCCAACTGGAAAATAAAGAAATATAGGATTGGAAGGTTGCAGGAAGGAATAATACAATGACTGAGCGGAGGTATCTTCTTTGAAACAAATCTAGGAATCTGGCTTTTGGGAGCCGTTCAAGAGTTTCTATGTACTCCTGTCACAAAAGCATAAAACTCATCATACTTTTCTTCAAATTGCTACTACATTAACAGCATGTAGAATACAGATTTCAGATAAGAACCTTGATTTCAGTTGCCTCCTGAGATATATCAGCTTCCTTGCCACGAAGCTTTTGTAGAGCTGTTTGAAACTCATCTTCACGTCCTCTCTTTGCCTGTAACCACGCCATTTTCGTTATGTGTGTGTGTGTGTGTGTGTGTAGGAAGAGTGTGTATTCAATTGCTGTTCGTTACCAGCCATCTGGGAGATTCGGGAATCAGAAACAGGCCAAAAACCAGAATTGCACAAGGAACAAGCCCTGCAAGCACTCTAGAGGTAAGCTTCCTGCTCTACAAATATTTTTAGTGTTTTCTACTCAACCATTTAAATTTTCTGAAAAATAATGCCCATTCTTGATCTCGTGATGATTGAGTAGGCAATAGATCAAGGAATACCAGTCAATGCCAAGGCCCTCCATGTCAGTACGGTTCCTATAATGAATGCAACAGACACTCCACCGCAGATCATAAGCTGCATCATGAGATGATATGATTAGAGAGGATCCTTGTCCCATTACATTTTGGTTTGCATTATATATTAAATATCTACTCCGTCCAACTAAGCCTCAATAGAAAACGTAATTTAGAAAGTTGATGTCCCTTCATAACACACCACAGCATGTGAAATTATGTTATCATTTGAAAAGATACATTTCTCAAGTTCTGTCAGAAGCGTGTCTTTACCTGATTTGTAGTTGTTAGTGCTCCTCTAAGACTCTTGGGTGCAATTTCAGCAATAAAAACAGGTACCTTGTCAAGATTTCAACATCATAATCGAATTCATTAGTAACATATATTCTACCATGTGCGTAGAGGCATGTTGAGAAGCAAATGCGAGAAGATTAAAATTCTACCACATAAGAAAAGACTCCCATTCCATAACCTGTTGCCAGTCTCCCGAGGTCCAGCGCCAGAACCCCCTGTTTTGTATTAATTGAGAGGGTAACAAGAAATAAGATAGTATGTCTGGGGAAAAAAAATCCCTTTTGCTTCTGTAATTAAGATGACACAAACCTGAGCAAAGTAGATGGCTAGCCATCCGGCAACACAGAAGCTGGTAGCCACTCTCAGCGCCTGCGTACGTTCCATACAAGGGTTGAGTCCTCCACAAGTGGCACTAGATCCAAAAATGTTCATCACAGCATACCTCTACTTACCCCTTTCCGACCAATTAAATCAGCGATGGGCCCACTTGTGATTGCACCAATCATTGCACCGAATGTCAATATTGAACCAAACACGGAATACTTCATAGTTCATACAAACACAGAGTAAGGAGCACATATAAGTTTGGAAGCTAAAAACCAAAGAGTTCATTTGCTGCGTTTAAAACAGCATATCATCAGTAAATAGGAGATGCTTTTCTTGATACAAGTGCCCTAGATCTAGCTCATCTTTTGATCCTAGAAACTTTTCTCTTAAGTTCAATTTCCGCAGTTGATCTGGAGCCATATTTGTAATGTCTGCTGAAAATCAATTATTCTTCCACAGCTTGAGTTTGCACGTTTCTGACAAGTTAGGAGACTTATTGATAAAGGGGACATATCAACCGGTTACTTAGCTCTGGATACGTGCTTAATATACTGGGAGACAATTTAGTAACTAACCTCTGCTAGAGATAGAGAGAGATCTTCCCTGACAGCATTTTCTGTGGGTGATGAATAGCCTGCCTGAAACAACATGCAGTAAATTAAATCAAGACTCTTGCTTGTCAAGAAATATGTAGGAACACGAGCTAAGTTAGGAAACAGAGCTTATTATCAGCCTTGTAAGTTCCTAAATAAAAGAAGGTAAGCTTACACATGAGCCAAATGCGAAAGAGCCACAGACTGCAACAAAAGTGCTGAGGTAAACCATCCGAGCACTTTCTTTGCTGCTACTCTGAGCAAAAGACCCATCTTGTTCGTCCATGAGTGGTTCTCTTACGTCTTCATGCTCAGCACGATTCTTACACTGCTCTAGGTCCTCTTGGATTCCCATGCCTTCACACCTTTCAGTCAGAATCTGCGCAGCCTGGAGATGGCAAAGAGAGAGTCTGTGAAGGAATGCTTTTTAGATCAGTGATGGATGTGAGAAATAAAAGAAAGAGATACGTTTTTCTTTCTTTCTTTCTTTCTTTCTCTCTTTTCTTTTTTAAATTTTCCTTAAATATGCTCCCAAAAAGTAATAATTCTCAACCACGTACGCTGTGCTCAAAGCTTCAATATTCAGTCACACTTGTCCCACCACAACAGCGTTCTTGACTTGATATACCCATCAGAAGCAACTGTTATTTTTACTAGACAAGTAAGTCTAGATTTCCATGTGCTTCATAATCAAATAATTAAATGGTATTGCCCCTGAGTTCACATGGACATGGCAGAGCCTGTAGGTATGCTTGGTTGGAGGGATGGATACGAAGTAAAAGGGATGATGTGTTTCTTTGTTTCGTTTTTGCATTAAATAGCCAGACAACTCATGAATAGATACTATGAGTGAAAATGGATGGGAATCGAAATAGGAAATGGATAAAAACTCAGTTAAGAAAGGGGTGGATTTCTCGCATATTTTCCAATTCAGACGGACGGCTTCTTGTTAGTCACATTCTTACACCCAAATACGCCCTCTAGAATGGATTAATATCTATCATTTCTTCTCTTCATTTTTCTACTTTATCCTATTCAATCCTTTCCACCGAACAGTTTTTAAGAACCCGTGGCTCCGATTCAGGGAGGGCAGCTTCATTGTTTTATCTGGAAAGAGATTTCTGTCAACCAAGCACATTGAAAGAGATTTCGTAAAGCAAATTATAATGGAGATTATGTTTTATTTTATTTTATAGGATTATGAGTTTCTTTTTCATCATTTCTCATTGACATTAAATCTACCACAGGAGAATTTCCAGCCGGCAGCTACCATCGCCTAGATTCTGAACCTGCTCATCTCCTCAAAATTAAGTTAAATTGTACAACTTGAGGTATTTTCAGGGTCCATTTGGTGCCTTGACGTCAAATTAATTGTGGGTCTAGGCAGCCTCTAGCGGCTACAAAAATTCCAAGGTGTTCTTTCAAGATAAATCATCAATCCTTGTCTTTATTGCTTCAGCCAGCCAACGAGCTCTGCAGCATGATACGTTTCTTCTTCCTTTGTAGACCAGACATCTTGCCACGCATGACTACCTTGCATTTATATCATTAAATTATTTGAAAAAAAAATTAAATACGTGGTAGGCAGACCCAATTTGACTGCGATATTCTCTTGATTCGTTCTTCCTCTTTCGTTGAGGAGCTGAGTAGCCCGCCATCTTTTACTCTCTTTTTTTTTGTTTTTTTTTTTTTACTCGGCTGCGAAACTGAAGATGCGAAATTAATTAATAGGTAGGATTATGGTAAATGTAACTTTTTAAAGTATTTTCTGTTTTAAAATATATTAAAATAATGCTTTTTATTTTTAAAATTTTATTTTTGATATTAATATTTCAAAATAATTTAAAGATAAAAAATTTCAAAAACATAATTAAACTACAACACCAAATAAAATCTTACAAGAAGCTCAAGGCAACTCCCTATGTGTTTATATAGTGCCGCCCAGTTGGTTTTTATTTATTGAATTAGTGTAGTATATAATTTTGAGAAAAAGGTTTATGAATTTAAATTATTGTTGGAAATAGAAAGGGTGAGTGATTATAAATTCAAATTCACATCACATGAAAATTAAAAGCTATTATTGAACCTGTATTTTTCTTAGATTGACTTTGTCATTTTTTATTGCAAAAAAAATCCCACCTAGTCAGTATTAAAAATGTTGGGTTATTAAAAAACTAAAAAATATTTTACTAGTAATAAATTACATAGCATTCTATAAAGTTCTTTCCAATAATAATAATAATACAAAGTACTTAAATGTATTGTTATGCTATTATGAAAAAAGTGATGAAACATGAGTTCATTCTTTTTAACTGTTTACAAGAGTTTAATTGTACTTTTCCGTACATGTTTTATAATTAAATTACGTGATAATTTATCTGGGCAGTCTTATCAAAACATGCTTGATGTCAAATCAATACTATTCTTAGACTATAATTACTTTCTTGTTTCTTTTTAAAATATTACTATCACCTGAGCTTTTTTTAATGTTGCAAAAGTTTTTGGTGCAGCACGCAGTATAGCGAGCGTGTAACCAATTGAGTTGTACATACTAATATGAAAAATGGTTTTGTTTTTGAAGCAGATCCGCCGATAAGATTACGCGAATTATTGCAATTTAATAATCATAGTGGAAAAAAACAAAGCCAACAAAAGCTACAAACAAACATGGGTCCAGTAAAATACAAGAGCAAAAGAAAATGACGACTACCAAATGGATGGAGTTGCAACCTGCAAACTGGAAATCATTACACGGGAGACGGGAATCCAGCCAGTATTCTGATGCGGCCATGTTCTATCTTTTAGAGCAGAGAACGGGATTGAATATTGTTTTCGACACTGACACTAGAGGAATACGTGGCTCACGCGCTAATTATTTGACCTGCGATTCTTTGTGGATTATAAAAAATATATATATTATTAAAAAAATACAAGCTATTTTGATGTGTTTTTTATATAAAAAATTCAATGTATAAATAGAAAAACTTGTATAAATATTTAATTAAATAAATTGATAAATATTTATGTAAATAAAAAAAATTATCAATTATAACTAAAAGAGAAACTGAAAAAATAAGATATAAATTAAAATTAAAATATTTAATCTCATAAAACATTTATCTAGTTATAATGTAGAGTGATAAAATTATAAAAGAAAATAATCAAAAAAAGATGTCAAATCACATTAATTTTTAAAAATTATGACTCGGGTTATTAGATCAAAAGCATTACAAATAAAAAAAATCATGAAAATCAATCCCCAACAAATAAAACGACAAATGATAAAACCAAGGAGAAAAAAACTTCACAAAAAGATCTAAAAATTATAATTAAAAGAATGAGGGTGAAAATAAAATAATATAAATTAGAAAGGAACAATAAATGTTCAAATAAAGAGTTAAATTGAAAAGAAAAATAACTTTAACAAAAAAAAATCAAAAGAATAAGGGCCAAATTAAAAAAAATAAAACAATATAAACTTTGATTGAATGATGAATTTGAAAATAAATAAAGCTTTAACAAAATACTAATAAAAAATAGAAATCAAAAGAATAAGGACCAATATGGAAAAAATAATATATGAAAAATTACAAATGAAGTATTAAATTGAAAACAAATAAAACTTTTAAAAAATAGATAAGAATGAAAATAAGAAATTAAAATAATAAAGATTGAAATTAAAAATAAAAAGAACAATCATATACTCAGATTGGAGGGGGAAAGAGAGAGAGGGGTTCATCGGTGATAAACCATTCATTATCTACCATCATACATCACACTAGAAGAAAAAAAAACATGATGGTACTCGCAAAAACATGATAAAAGAAACATATTTAGTCATTAGATGGTGTTTAATGCTTTATCTAAATAGTATGAATATCAAAACTATTTATTTAATGAGCACATGAGCACATGATCACATGAGCACAGGAGCACACTTACTAGCATTGAATGAGCACATGACAACTATTTATTTAATAAAAAATTAACTATTTAACATAAAAATATCAAAACACCACTCAAACCATTAAAAATTACAAAAAGAAAAAGAAGAAGCCATGTGATAGAAAAAAATACCCTTTAGACACCTACCTTATTTTTTAAGTGAAAATACAAAAATATACTTGATAAACAATTATAATTTTTCTTTATCTAAGGGGTAAATAAATAATTTTATTGTTTAATATTTTTTTTGAAAAGAATAATATATCATCTAACCAGTGCACAATTGAAAAAGATAAATTGCCATTAACACCAAGATTTTCTTATTTTTTTTAAATTGAATGGCAAAAAAATAATTTTATTGTAACAATTCATAATAATTTTTATTTAATGTGATCTACAAGTTAATTTGTTAGATATCTAACTATGTAGTTTAATTAATTTATAATTGAATTGATATTTTTTTTATTATAATGAATTATTTTAATGTTAAGATTAAGATTTTTTTAATCATAAACTTACCTGATATGAAAATTAGGTGATTATGTTGACTGCTAGTTGCATATTTAACAAGTAGTCGCGTTATGCAGTTCTATTTATGTGCTGGAGGGCCTCCCTTTATTCAACTATTTTTGAGTAAAATGAACTGTGCTGGTACTGTGTTCACCTGAACAATGCCAAAAATAAAGTTTGGCAATCTGATAGCGAAGGGCCTGATCAGATTTTGTCTGTCATTTGAAGGCAACTAGCCGATTAAATTGTCTACTGTATAGATCTACACGTAATAAACAATTTAGAGCACCCTCAAAAGTTTTTTAAAAAAAAGGGACAGAGACCACTCTGTGCTACTAATTAATTAGTAATAACTAATAGAGAGAGGTTTGTCAAAGACATATCAAGGATCCGGCCATATGTCTGTTCCAAGAATTGTAGTTGTACACAAAAAAACAGTGATTCTTAATTTTCACGTATGTCCTCCTTGTATGCTGTCCAGGCATGTGGGTAACTGGAACGTGTCATCATGTGTGATCTTGCTAGAGACATTTCCTACTTGTCTTTTGATTACCGGTCAAAGACGCTGTGAGCTATCGATTGGATTGGGAAAATAATATAAAAGTTAGTTAGTCGATGATATGATGATTGTCTAAAAGTGTTTGATATTTATTATGTGCTATTAATTTTTTTTTTTATCTCCTTGCCGATCAACAAAGCCAACCACAGCCACCAGATCGACGATCACTCCTCTTTGTCTCGTAAATCAGAGTCCCTTTTCAACCCTAAAACCACCATAGAAACAGATCTCCTTTTAGCCAAAAAAAAAAAAAAAAAAAAGAGGGACCCAGAAACAAATCAAATTCCAGGCCAAATCTTCTAATGGTCATTTTAGAATTACGGTGGATGTTGGTTTTTTACTCAAATATAATAAAATAATATTTTATTATTATTTAAAATTTATTTTTAATATTAATATATTAATAATAGATTGAATTTTTCCAACGTTACTAAAATTTTATATAATTATTAATTTTAGAATATGTATATAATTAATTAAAATACATATAAATTAATATAAATTAATCTGAATATCTTACTAATTACAAAAAAAGTATAATTAATTAAAATACATATAAATTAATCTGAATATCTTATTAATTAAAAAAAAAAACAAATGAACCGTTGTTGAAGGATGTCGCTGTTGATGTATGGATGACAAAAGTTGTTTGGACACATGATTTGACTTTTACCAACTCAGAGTTATTATTTTTTAAATATCATATATATGTTTCTTCCATGATTTTACTGTGTAATGATTATTTTTATTGTCCAAGAAGCAAGCCCGGGATAAAGAATCACCCGACCATCGTTGTTGTCAATAGAGAGAATACTATAAATTATTAATACACGATTCTTTATTGTTTTTAGAAATTTTAAAAATAAGAAAACAACAATTTATTTGTTTGCTGACGCACAAGAACTGTTTTTGGATGCTGAGATGTTTTTTCTTCGACATGATGAGAAAC